AGCTGGACGAGGGGACTGCACCTCTGGAGGTGGAGCAGATGCCAACTGCTTCTCTTCAGATTTCTGATGTAGTTGGTGGAGGGAATGCTGTTTCGCCGGTTGTCTTGTCGTCGGAGGTGGCAGCGTTACCAGGTGAATTGAATGTACCTACTGTGGTATGTGCTGAGTTGTTGGAGTCTAATGAGGGTGATGTGAATGATGTGAAGCCGTTGCAGGTAGTTTCGAATGTCGATGGTGGTTCTTCACTGCGGGATGTGGGTGGGTCTTTTGCTTTGTCGTCGAGTGGTCTGAAGAAGGACAATACACGGCCGATGAGTGCTGTGCCTAGTGCTTCTCTGTATGGTGAAGAGGGGAGGCCTGCGCGTGCAAGTTTTGGTTTGGGGTCGAATGCTTGTGATGAGGTGGCTGGAAGTATGTTTTCTAGAGGTGGTTCTGTTTCATCTCGGCCATTGTCAGTGGCTCGACTTGCCTCGAATCCGAGTTCTGAGCATCGTATTTTTACGGGGATGAATTCGCAAGATGCTTTTATTGCAGGGAGTGACATGCGGCCGAGGGTGCTTGTTGGCAAGGCCCGCGTTCGAAATTTGACGTCCGTCACTCCAGACCGGCAGCTGGATGGAGTGTTGATGACTCGCGGCATGGGGAAGGTGGTGGACTCGTTTCCATTTCTTAGCTCGGTTGAAGATGGTGGCAGTGGGGTCGTACGCAGGGGCAGGCTGCAGCCGTCATCGCGTTCGTCGGTGAGATCGTCTTCGGCCTTCGTTGGGGTGCAGCGTCGTGAGGCTCGCTTTGCTTCTGCTGTTCTTTCGCCAACAGGGTCGCCGTTGTACCCGCAGCATGCGCCCCTGCGCATTCAGCGACAGTATGAGACCTGCCGGGGTATCTTTCCGTCGTGGAACGATCCCGCGGTGGTGATCCCGCGCCGTGAACGGGAGTCGCTTCCCAAACCGTCGTCTTCTGAACTGCCACTGCTGCGGAAGCAGAAGGAGGGGTCACTGCCGCACCAGAACCTTATTTTGCATGGCAACCGGTGCCTGACACCCCGGATACCCGTGAACGTGGCGCTGCAGCGACCCGTGGGAGCGGCGGATGCCTCTGCGTCGCATCGGCGGTTGGGCGAGGTGGTGGCAAGGATAGCAATCTCGCGCACCCCATCGCCGCAGCAGCAGGCCATGCAGTATTTTTCACCGGAGCTACTAGCCTGCCCCTACCATCGCGAGGCGCCGTACCGTATGCGCTGGCGGCGGTGTGACGCTTCTTGTGCTCGAATTTGGCCCACCATGAACTTGCCACCATATACTTCTCAAGGCGTTCCGAGGCGACCAGTTCCGCTTCCCACGCTGACAAGTCCAAGATTTACCGCCACCACCGGCGCCACGGAGACCACTCGTTTTGTGAGAGACAGGTTTGCTAACTACTAGTCGGAGGGTGCAGCGGGGCCACTGGGTGGGTCATGAGCGCTGCGTGTAGACCAGCCATATATTGAGGATGACTGTTGATATGTGGTATATGTGTGCTTGCGGTAAATGAGCGAAGTAAGATTAGCATTGATTTTAAGAGTTACAAGAAGAGCGAGAAACAAAATGTTTTTTTTTAAAAAAAATTTCCTTTTCCCTCTTTCCTATTTATTGTTGGTGCAGTTTTTTTGATTTTTACAATCCTTCTTTAATTTCTGGCTGCTTCCTTGACTATTGTTTGTTTACCACCCATGCACGACCTGTATGCATGCAACTGCCTATTCGGCTCTGGATCATATAGATATATATATAATTTGATGTATACATGACATGTATGTAGGCAATGTGGATGTGGAACGTTGTGGGCAATGCATGTAGGAGAATTCTACCACTAAACGTAACAACGTATATGCCCAACATTGCGTTTATTTCCATGATGCAGGCCTCGATTGATTGTAAAAACATATATGTACGACGTGTGCATGGATTACGTCACCATTGCCCCACTTTCTGAGGGGGAGGTGGGTACGACTGCTGTGCGCTGTTATTTTTTTTTTTGGGTGTTCTTTTTGTTTTTGTTTTTCTGTTTACTTGTGTGGTACGGTGAGATAAAATATGCGCAAGAAGAACAAACAGACAGGTGTTTTATCAAGCAGCGGGGTTGCGGCACATACACCGGCTGAAGGAAAGAAAATTGGATATGGCGGGGGAAAGATGAGTAAAAAGGTGAAGTGCGGAGCAGCAGTGTGTGATACCTCGCAGGTGTGCTGGTGCGATGCAGAGTGATGTAAGTTTGTTTGCGTGACCGACGAGGGTGCTGGTTGTAGCAGTTTTCAGTAGAGAGAGCGGGGAGGAGGAGATAACCCTAACCCCCCCGTTGCGTCTTATTTTCTTGTTGTTTGTTCTCTTCCTTCCAAGTTATGTGACGGTAAGTGAGGGGCGTGCTGTGCCTTTGAGCAAAACAAAACATACGCGCAGAGAAAAAGAGCATAAGTGGGGCGGGAGATAAAAATGGAATAATAATAATAATAACAACAACAAAACAAAAGCCGCGGAATCCAAAGTGTATGGTACCTCATTTCACCCACGTGTGCTTCTGTGCAGTTATGTATACGTCCACTCAGTTATGTGTGTGTTTTTGCCTGTTATTTTTTGGAATTGACTTTTCCTGAGACATGCGCAACATCTCTTCCCCGCCCGCCTGTCGCCACCTGAATGACGTCGTTGTTTGCACAAGGGTATGCGCACACACGTGCCACCGTGGGCCGCGCTGCCTTCACTTCTATTTCTTTCTTTCTCTCTCTTTTTGTACCTTCTTCTTGCATAGAGTGGTTCGAGGACGCATGACGTGCGAGGGGTGAAGGAGACAAAGAAGAGTGATTGAGTGTGCTGGCCTTGTACGGAGCACGGCCACTTCTGGACAGACGCAGGGAAAACATGCCACGCCATAGCCGAGGCCGTGCTGGGTGACGCCCCTATGCTGCACGGTCAGAGAAGTAGCGGCGGCAAGAACAAACTTCTGTGGCGCTTCTCTCTTCTTTGCTCCGTTCCTTTGTTGCTGTTGGTGACGCCCGTCGGTTTCCCCAATGACAGCGGCAGAGTTACCTCTCCCCCATGTTTTTGTACCTCCTCTTCCTTCTTCTTGTGGCAAGTTCCGGGGCATTTGTCTTCGCTGCCTCGATGCACCCACCCACATGCATAAGAAACGAAATAAATATGCATGGCACTTTTTTTTCTTTAACTCCTCTTTTTCTTCTTTTCCCTGACGCATACTCCCCCACGGAAGGTATTATAGAGAGGGGGAGTGGGTTGACGCGTGTTACTGGACGAGGCGGCATCTGCGAGGTTTAACCCCTCCCCCGCCCCTCCAGTACCACGAGCAACGCGAAAAGGAGGAAGCAAGGAACGGCACACAAGGCCGGAGGGCCGAACAATAGCAAGCGGAGAAGGCAAAAACCCATGCAACGACAAACACGGCGTTTTGCGTCCATGGCAGACGCCTCCGACGTCTCTCAGATGGACCCATGGAAAGATGATCGTTGCCGTGACTTTGTCGCTCTTAACACCATCCAGCGACTTCGCTCCTACCACGCAGAGGCGATGTTACCAGTTGAACCGGTAAATAGTCTTCGGGCGAAGAATCTGATTCTGTTGCCAAAGACGGAGCCTGATGCGAAAACCTGCGAGACCGAGGAAGGGTGTGCGATTGATAGGGCGCGAATTCTGTTCTTTGGGCCAACCGCGTTTACTTCATTAACATCACAGGGACGCATGACGGCTTCTCCACATGCTGGTGGCCACAGCAGTAGCCGAAGTAGTTTCCCCCCCAGCGAGGAGATGCGAAAATCATCTCCCGTCAAAAAAGTTTTACAAACGGCCTCCGTGCCCTTAAGCTCTCAGCCATATGATTTGGGGCAACAGCGTGATGAGGTGCCTGCGACGCCTGGGGAAGGCACCACAGAAAACAACGCCGTTGGTACGCATCAAGGAATTTATCATGATGCATTTGAGGCGGGGGCCACACCGCTACGGCGTCCCATTAACGATACCACGGCAACCCCAGCGCCCCGCCCACCCGAGTCTGCTACGGAATTGGTTGTCACATGCGATGGAGACCGTGCACACGAAAAGGAGGGAACTAATTCTCGTCAATCTACTTCAGGTGTTGTAAAATTTTCTTGTGCCATTGTAGATGTCATCGTGGCGTACTACCAGTCCCTTCTCACCCGCGTCGTCGTGTTAGATCGGTTTAACACCAAAGACTTGGCCTTTGCATGGTGGGTTGTGGGGAGAAACATGGATGTGGCTGCCCTGCATCACTCCACTGGGCCCATGCGGCGTGATTCCCTGGTAATTCTTCTGCGTCACTTTTACTATGAATTGCTGAACGAGCAGCGACCGAAGAAGGGCCTCGTATTGGACTCGACGTCGTCTCCGGCTCACGGAGACAAGCAGGAGGAGGAGGAGGAGAAGAAGAGGGGGCAGTCCGCCGCTGCTCCACATAAGCTGGGAGAGGCAAGGGTGGGGCAGAAACCGCCTGGAGGAGACGATGGCGACGACGGGGAAGACGAGGAAGATACAAAACAGCAGCAGCAAGCTGCAGTGGCCACGGCGAAGACGGCAAGAGGAGGGGAAACAACGGAGGGAACTAGAAAGCGGCCGCGTAGTCGTCTTGATTCGACCCGCACAAGCCCACCTCCAATTAGTAGTTCTCTGCGCCGTCGCCTCCACGTAAAGGAGGATGCAAGGAAAGCGAAACCGACCGAGGAGACACGAGCCACAGGGGTGCCTGAGGCCGTTGAGGCATCAGCTGCAAGAGGCAGCCGGGTAAAACCGGCGTCCAGGCGGGCAGTAAAGCTAAAAGAAAAGGTGGTCGTGGGGGCCGCCGTTGTAGCGCAAAGCACAGGGCTGGGGGCACAGACGGAGCCAACCATGTTACCGCCGCTGACATCGGCATCGTCATCCGCCGCAACGAAATTGGAGCCGACAGCACATCATAAACGCCAAGGCGCTGCGGGTGGTGCGGGAGCGGAGGCTCCACCTGCTGAAAGGCCACATAGATCCTCCCGCTCAGCGAACCTTGAAGATATTTGGCGGCCACTTCGCTCAACACGAAGGCGTCCTCCTCTTTCTGAAAGTAGCAGTGATTTTGTTGAGGCAACCTCAGCCGTAGCGGAAAAGCGGCACAATTCTGCTTTCTTCCTTAACCACATCGGGAAACGAATTCATGCACGGATGGCAAAAGATGCCAACTACGCATATCTGCTTACTGCATTTCCAGGCGGCGATTCGTTTGTGAAAACCGAAGTGGAGGGCCACAATGGCTTTGCAAATGACGGAAATCGTGAGGAAAAGTCGCTCCACGGCATGCATCCGGCGCTGATGCAGTTGCTGCGCTACCACCATGCACCCTCTCCTGCGCCATCTGTGCCGCGTAGCGGATTGGGCACAGGGGGCGAGGAAGAAAGGACTGCGGAAGCTGGGAACACCCATTTGGTGGGACCAGCCGCTAAAACGGAGTTCATGGTCGTCCACGAGAATCATACAGAAAAGGAAGAAAATACAGAGGACGAGCAGCGGCTTCTACCTTCCGCGAGGGAGTCTCCTCCAGCGCGTCCTCAGGACGTGATGACCTCCTCGGAGGTGTTTGTTAAGGTGGAGTGCGCGGACGAAGAGGTAGTTTCTGCACAGCGGCTTGGGCCCAAAGACGAGAACCATGTTAGTGGTGGAGCCGGAGCGCCTCTTGTTCAGCTGCCCTGCCCCTTTTCAGCCCTGACGTACGCCCAGCGTTGCTTGTTAACCTGGGAGGCCTCTCTTCTTCTTGACCCTGCACCAACGCCACCTGTGAGGAGGGGGCAGCAGCCGGCATTAAGTACCACAGCGAGTCAATCCAAAGCTTCTGCAGCGCAGCAAAGGCACTACTACAATTACTGGAGTAACCCATAGGTGTAAGCAGACCATTTCCTTCCGCTTTCTACTGGTTGTCTGTATTGTCACACACACTCACACACACTTATTTTTTTTTTAAGTCATTTGGACCTCCGTCATTTTGCTTGTTTTTTTTTTGTCTTGTTTTAATCTATTCTTTTTGCTGACACGTCTGTTTATTTTCTTTCCTTTGTAGTGGTGGTTGGAGGGCTGGGGCGAGAGAGCGAGGGAACGCAAATATATATATATATAGTAAGAGAAAGAGAACCTAGTGTGCCATGTTTACATTTGCCTGGGGACTGTACAGCTCGCTGTTTGTGGATCAGACGTACAAGGTGCTTATTGTTGGTCTTGAATCCTCCGGTAAAACAACGCTGCTGGAGCAGTTGAAATGTGTATACGCAACGAACAATAGTGCTGCCTCACAGGCGGGGTTAGATGCGGACAGTTCCATTCCCACACCAGCGCCGGTGAACGTCATGAAGGCTAAGCGCATTCGCCCCACTGTAGGCTTAAATATGAATCGCATCACCCACCGTGTCATTCCAGTATGCCTGTCCACCTCCCCGAGGCAGGGGAGTTTGAGTCGCAACAACGGCGGCGATGCTCAGGCTTCCACGTCCACGAACACACTGTCGTCGAGTGCGCTGCTTAGTGCCTTCACACCGGTCACAACGCGACTCATGTTGTGGGACGTAGGTGGCTCAATGCAGAAGCTTTGGGCAAACTATTTTGCCTCTTGCCATGGGGTCATTTTTGTCGTGGATAGCACCTTAGGGTCCTCTGCAGCTGCCACCGGGAACACGGTCAATGCAAGTGCAAGTTCTTCTGCCTCTGCAGTGGCGGCGACGGAGTTTAGCGAGCAACCTGCCACCTCCTCGGAGCAGTCGTGTGTGAGCTCCTTGGATACAGGAAATTTCAGCCCCATCTTTTCCTTTGGCGGGATGGTGACATCGCTTGTAGCGGCACCGCTCGTTGAGTCGGGGCGGACTGAGGCGCTGGCGCCCCAGCAGATGGAAGAAAAAAGGCGAAGCTTCCAGCGTGATGCATACGCGCGGAATGCGGCGGTGTTGCGTGCGTTATTCCGTCACCCACTTTTGACGAACGCGCCGCTGTTGATTTTATCCAACAAGGCAGATGCAGTGGGTCACTGCTCGCTCGCCGAGGTGCAGGAGGCCCTTGGGCTAGTTGAATTGGCCCTTATGCAGGAATTGTATGATAAGGGGGGCGCGAATGGGATGTTCCACTCTGCGGGGACTGCGGATGATGCGGATGTTTTTTTTGGCTCCGTGCCGGTTGGAGACCACTCTTTTAGCGGCGTTGACGCCGTGGGGACAAGTGGAATTGGAAATAAAGTCATGCGGCTGGCGGAGGTGAGTGCGTTGGATGGCTCGGGGGTGCGCGAGGCGTTGGACTGGCTTGTGTTTCAGATGCGGGACAGTGCGCGGGAGGTGGTGGAGAATGACAATTGACCAATGAGAGGCCTGGTGTGATGATGCCTCCTCGTCTTTTTTATTTTTATTTTGTATTTTGTTTCCCCTTACCATTGTTGTTGTTATGCCTTTTTTTTTTTGCTTTACGTGCGTGGCAGTGTACGTGTTCGATGTGTTTGTCGATTGCGACGTTTGTTTGTTCGTTTGTTTCTTCCTGTGTAGATGTGTCTGCTTCTTTCTACACTGCACGGGCCCGTCCTCTCTCTCTCTCTCTTCCGTGTGGGTAACACGCATTTTATGTTTTGATTGATGCCGCTGAGTTTGCCTCACGGAAGCGGTTGGATACAGCTTTCCTTGCGCTGCGTGAGAGAGTGGGGGAGGGGGTCTTGCCACGTTAAAGTTAATTTCCGCAACAAAAAAAAAGGGATACAGTGCGAGGGCGATGTTTGGCGCTGGACAGCTGGGTGCACGTTTGTTTCAATACGCGCCGCGGCTTCTGATGACGCAGTTTTCTTCGCTTCTGTTGGGTATGGCGGCCGGCTACTGCATTCTCCTGCTGCTGTTTGGCCCACTCTCACTTGTTTCCGGTCTGTTGCAGGTTCTTCTCACGGCAGCGATTGCCAAAGGGTTGGCGATCGGTGCACACGTGGGGATTGCAAAGGGGATTGCTCTGTTTGAGGGCCATGTGGGCGGCGGCAGCGGTGCGGGGAGGCAGGGTCACTTGCGGCATCACACATGCAACAACGTTGCTCCTGGCGGTGGCGGTAGAAATGTGAAAGGGTCATACGACTTTGCTGGCGCCATGGACGACGCTGCCGTCACCGAGTTGGACTGAGGGCAGGGCGGACGTTGTGTGGCGGGACACTTCTTGGGACTCAAGTCTCCTTCTCCCGCCACGGGGAGTGAGGGCGGGGGTGGGCAAGCAGGCACCATGCGGGTAAAACGTGTATAATTATCTATGCGTAGCGAGGAGAATGGTGTGGGTCGGGTGAGAGGTGCGAAAGAAGGAAGACGACAGAAAGTACCAGGCAACGTGTGTTGTGAGGTTTCCCTGCAGTGTGTTTCTACTTTTCATCCATGATGGTTTCATGCACGAAGGCGCCGCTTCACTTTGTCTTTTCCACTTTAGTTGTTTTTTTTTTGTTGTTGTTGGTGGTGCTTCTGTACGCGCCCTCATCGTGTGTGAACCGGTGCACAGCGCTCTAAAGGCGTCGTTGGTATTTTAGTAGCAATGCACCATCCACAGTCCCAACTGCATCACCACCAGGCCACGCATCCTTCGGCACCACCGCCGCCGCCGCAGTATGTACCGCTACAGTTTCAACAGCCACAGTTTCAGCAGCCGGAGCCAACTGTTTTTTTTTCTCAGCCCTACACAGACGGTGCTAGTGGCGGTGTCTACGTGGACCCTGCAGCATCGCCGGCAGGAGTGCCGACTGGGTATAACCCACATTTCTCTAGCAACCACGTCTTTAGTGGCGAAGAGAACACTCCCATAACGCAGGAGGTGCAGCATGCCCAACATGCGCATGTTATGTCGATAGGCATCGTGACCCCAACCATCTCGAGGGGAGAGTCTTGTGTGTCTCCCAGGGCTTTTGGCATAAGTTCGCCTTCAAATAGTGCCAACACCAGTCCCTTGCTTAGGCATCACCCTAACAGGATGGTCGCGCCACCACCACCCAAACCATTTTTGCAGCAGCCACCATCGTCTTCAATTACGATGATTGCATCACCGGCGCCCGTCCCTCATGAAAGTACACTACATGCCACTCAGCCTTTTTACCACTCCCAGCCGTACCAGCAACAACCGTTCCAGCAGCAACAACCGTTCCAGCAGCAGCAACCGTTCCAGCAGCAGCAACCGTTCCAGCAGCAGCAACAACAACCGACAGCCGTTCCACCGATCCAGCGACCACGTAGCGGATTTATGGCGTCAATGTTAAATGCTATTTTGCCACACGATGCGTTTGGAAGTAATTTGACGCAGGGTTCTGTTCCACTGTATCAGCAGCGCTTTGGCTACCCCGAGGATGACCTCCCACTACTAGAGGAGTTAGGCATTTTCCCGCATCAGATACGCTGTAAGGCTTTGGCGGTTTTAAACCCCTTTAAGCCTATGGCACTGGAAGCCGTAGAAGACATGGATCTGGCTGGGCCCATTGTCTTTGCTGTTGCTCTTGCCTTCTTGTTGTCCTTGCAGGGAAAGCTGCAGTTTAGCAGTATTTACGGCCACTCCGTGTTTGGGATTATCTTTATGAAGGTCCTCCTCTCTCTGATGACGGACCACGGCGTTGCACTGCAGTTTGTTATTAGTGCCATGGGGTATTGTCTTATTCCCAACGTCATTTTAGCTGTCTGCCAGTCCATTGTATACTTGCTATTTGGCAAAGTAGGAAGGACGATGCTGGCGCCGTCCATGTTGATTGTCTTTTGGTCTGCATGGTGCGCCACGGCAATGCTGGAGAGCGGGCTTTCCATGGAAAAGCAGCGGTACCTCATCATGTATCCCATGTTCCTTTTCTACGCTGTGCTTGCGGCACTGACGATATTCTAAGCAAAAAGAAATTACACGAGCAGCAGGGAGGGGAAACAGAGCCAACAGGCAAGAACGAAAAACATATAAAAGGAACAAGAGGACATGAGGTGACGCCTGCACGCAGTTCATTCTGCTGCCTGGAGTCGGTGGGGGAGGGGGAGCAGACACGCATCCCTGTGGAGCAGTGAAGAGGGTGGAACACCGTGTGCGTTTGTGTCTCGGTTCCGCACGGACGGAAGAGGTGGTACAGGCAGGAAAAGGAGAAAAGAAGAGTGATTGGTGGTGGAAGGGAGCACTGTTAGCTTGCGCAAGCACCTGCTGCTCCAGGCGACGGAGGGAATGGTAAGATACACGTAGAGAGAAAAGTTTATGCGTTTTTTTTCCCCCTCTTTGGGCGTTTCCGTCACATGCCCGTTCCCCACTTTTCTCTCTCTCTCTCGGTGTGTGTCGATCTGTCGGTCGTTCTGTCTCCGCGTGTATTTGTGTGGTGCGAGGGCCCGATGGCGTTACTGATGTGCTCACGCATCACTTCTGTGCGGTCCCTCGTTGGAGGGCGCGGGAAAAGATGGACACCGTTGACAGGCACAATGACCACAATAATAAACGAAACCAAAACTAAACTACAGAGGAGAAAAGAAGAAAATATGGCTCTGTCTGCAATGTACGCCGTGAGAAAAACGGAGGCAGGGACACGTGTGAGACGAAGACGTGTGTGTTTATATGGAAATGGCAGCTTTCCTCCTGCGCTGAGTGTTTGCATATGTTTTTTTTTTTTTTGGTGTGCTCCCTTTGTGTCACGTGCCGGCGGCGCCTCTCTCTCTCTCTCTCTTTTTATCTCTTTGGCTTCACCCACCTTCCTCGTTCTGCACAACAGCGACAAGACAGACATATTAAGGCGGATACCGCACGCTGGATAGATAGGTGGACAACCCTACACAAACAACACATTTTGTATAGATTTACTACAGGCACATATCTACTGCCACACACATTAAGTTTTTGTTTTTTTTGTTTTTGATTTTATTATTCTTTTTTTGCATAGAGGCATCATTACATATAAAAGTATCTTCGGATCGTTTACATAGATAGACAGAACACCTGCCAGCACACGACGGTGGGCGTAATATAACATTAACAACATTCCGTGGTGAACACATAGAAGCATTTATTATTATTATTATTATTATTATTATTAATTATATTGCTTTGCAGTGACAGGGGCGATGGAGAAGGAATCGCTGTTGGGCCGCGAACAGGAGTACAACGCTGTACATGAATTCATTGAAGAACGTATACTGCTTTCACACTGTCGCTCTCTCTTTGTATTCGGCGCCTGTGGCTGCGGTAAGACCTCAACCATTCTTCGTGCGATGCGGTGTGTGTCAAGCCGTCCGATGGCATGCGACAAGGTGACTGGGCGGCCAAGTTCGGAAGGGCGCGGCAGTTGTGGCAGCAACAGCGGTGGCAAAAGTAACGACATCGATGACAAGTCTCCTTCACCTGCAATAGAAAAACGAAGACCAGCCAAACGAGGCCGCGCTGACGCTGGCAGCATGGCAAGCGTCGATAGTACAGAAGATGCAGCCATGAGCCGAATGTCGTGTGGCCGTAAGGAGGCATCGCCTTGCAGCGATGCCGCCACCGCGTCTCACTCCTTGGCGGCTGCCAGTCTGCGGCTGCTTGGAGGCAACCGTCGCATACAGTGCCACTATATCAACTGTGCCGACATGACCTCGCAACAGTTGTGTGCTGCCATCGCTTGCAGCTTTCGTGTGGCACAACCGCGTTTGGATGCGCAGTCACGGAATCTACTGGGTCACATTGAAACCCTTCCACAAACTCTCACTAAGCGTCGTGGGGCAGAATCTGACGCGGCCCGAAAGTTTCTGCTGCAGGAAGCCATGGTAGAACAAGCCACAGAGCCCACACCTGTGAAGAAGTCCATGGTAAAGGCACCGCTGCATGTTCTGGCTTTGGACGAGGTGGAATATGTGCGAGCCGGGGCTCGTGGCCTATTAACTGCGTTGACCGCACTCTCTGTGGAACATGCGTCACAGTTGGCACTTGTGTTCATCTCAAATCAGCGTGAGTTGGTACATGTCCCGTACACGCTGCTGAAGGAGCTCCCCTTTGAGGCCTACAGCACGCAGACGCTCGAGCGCATTGGTGCCAGTATTGTGGCCAGTGCAGACTTTACACAAAAGGAGCGGGCGGAGGTGCAGCTGAGCCCGGGATTGATAGCTTACATCGCCAAGAAAGCCATTCATGAATACTCTGGTGACGTTCGCCAAGTGGTTTCCATGTGCCGCCGCCTCGTTTACACAGCCCAGCAGGGGATTCTTGACCATCCAGTCAAGCAGGGCGAGATGCAGAAGGAGGCCACACCGCAGCGTCGAAGCGGTAGTGGCGTTTTGCACGCCGGTGCAGTTTCCGGCAATGCATCACCCGTCTCTCCTGCCGCTGTTGTGACACTTGCGCAGAGTCAAAAGGTATTACGAGGCTCTGCTGTTGTGGGCGATCGCGTCTTTGAGTACGTTGCGGGCATGCCAGAGCAGATGTTGTACGTCCTCAGCTGCTTGGTTGTCTTGACGCTGCGACAGCGGCGGGATAAACAGTCGGCGCAGACAAATGTGGCCGGCGTGACGTCATCGACCCGCCGTCTAAAAGCCGATGCCGCAGCAGGAAGAGTGGAGCCAGGTACCTTCGCGATGCGTGAGGTTCATCGCATGTACACCGCACTTATGGGTCAGCAGAGATTTCCACTGATGAATGCGGCGGGTATCATGTCTGCGATTGATAGCTTTGCGGATCTCGGCATCATCTCCCGTCCCCAGCGGCGTGGTAATGAGGAGCTCTTTTCCTTCAACGGTACCTGGTCACTGGAGTCGATGCAGAGTGCATTAACTGCCCGCGGTGAGGCACTGCGGCAGGAACGCATAGAATGCGGCCTGGACGGCTCAGAGAATCGCTTCAGCGAGGTGCTACGGGAGCTGAAGACGATTGCTGGGCTGTAACGCCATGCCGCAACCCATTTCTCTCTCTTTTTTTTTTTTTCTGCTGTTGCGTCTTCTTTACCGAAATCCACGCATAAGATGCATGTTTGTTTATAGATGTTGGTTGGCATGTATGCACCTTCACGTGTGTACGTGCGCACCCTTATAGATAGAGCAGGCCCCTTGTGGGTAAATAGACTGCGTAACTTCAAAAACGAAGGTAAATTGACTATATATATATATATATATATATATATATTTATATCTACACACACATACATCACATCTTGTTGTTGTTGCGGTTTACTTTAAAAAAAAAAAAATGGAGGAAAAGCGCAGGCCACAGACGTCGTGCTTGTAAGGCTACTAAATGATCCCAACACACAAGTGCATAGACCCACGGGGATACATGCGTAGATGCATCTCCCTACTCCCCCCCCTTCCTCCCCTCCTCTCCGCCGCACACACCTACGCCGTCATTTAATTTTCTTTTTCTTTTTTTTTTTATATATCTTTTTTTCCTCGCCGCCGCGCAGCCAGAGGAGGAATGTGGCTGTGTTGTATCGTCCCCCAACTCGCTTAACGCTTCTTGCACAAGAAGGCACTACACAGAACGAAAAAAAAAAAAAACACAACTGCTTCACGTATGCCCTTCTTTTTTTTTTCTTTTTCATTTGTGCAGAGGAAGATGCCCCGTGAAATCAAGAACCTAAAGGAGTTCCTCGCCATCTGCTCCCGCAAGGATGCCAGGTGTGTGAAGGTGAAGCACAACCCCCTCGTGACAAAGTTCAAGGTGCGCTGCAGCCGCTACCTCTACACCCTCGTCGTCACGGACAAGAAGAAGGCGGACAAGATTGAGCGTTCCATTCATCCCTCCGTGAAGAAGGTCACCGTCACGGCGCGCTCGCACGCCAAGACAAACGCCGGCAGCAAGTAGAGGGCACGCGGCGACTGGAGGAAAACGGTCTGTGGCAGCGAACGGAGCTCCCACACTGCCCTTTCGCTTGTGCCGTGTGTATGGAAGCGTGTGCGTGTGGGACACGCGACAAGGAGCCGCTGTTGCCTCTGACGTGTAGGGGTCAAACTTCCTCGCTCACCCTTTTTTTGTCTTGTTTTTACTTCTTCTTTTTAAACAATCACAAAAAAGAAAAAAAACATCAAGAAGAAGACGAGGTTTCTTTTGCCCTCTGTCTTCTTTCCGCTTACTATGTTGTTGGAAGAACTTTCGTGTGTGTTCCGTTGCTACCCTTCACACTGCTGCGACATCTGCTCCGGTTCTCTCTTCTCATTCATCTTCAAGGACGCGGAGTTGCCACCACTGCTGCAGCCAACCATAACATTCAATAAAGGAGCATCTTTTCCACAAAAAGGAGTAGAAGTCGCAATACGAAAGTGGCGGAGCTTTAACTTTAGTCGCCACAAACCCTCTGCACCCGCCACGTTGTTGTTGTCCCTGACTCTTTCCAGCACTCTGCAGGTGCGTGGGGCACTCACTTGCTGTTGTGGTGGTTCTTCTGCCTGCGTGTGTGTGGTGTTTGCCTCGCGCCGTGTGGGTGGCTCTCTTTCTTTCTCTTTTGCTGCAGCTCAGTGGCGTCATGTCTGTGCCTATTCTGTTTCTCTTTCCCTATTTTATTCTTTTGGCATGTGCTTAGTGTAGTGTTCAGTTGCAACTCGAGTCATCAACAACTGTGAAGGAAGAAAAATAAGGAAAGAATGTTTGAAGGGCGCGAGGAAGAATCTCTCGCCACTGAAGAGTGCCGCGCAACTGATGTGCTGCAGGGACAGCGTCCAACGCTGTTGGGGTTTTCTGGTGGCATATATTATCCCAGTGTGATTCCGCGGAAAATGAGTACGTTGCAATCAAGGTGGTTTCTGGAGGACACGGTAGAAGACGTCCTGCTTGCGGAAGATGGCTACCCCAATAAGAAGAAGCTGAATGATGTCCTCCGACATGATTTTTTCGGCAGGGGCGTTGTGAATGCTAATGAGGGCGTCCTTATGGGGGAGTTTGTTGCCAACCCAGAGAAGTTTGTACATGACATAAAGCTACTGCACGAAGTGGAGGACAAGACCATGTTTGAGCTTCTGAAGGCTGAGTACCTTCTTCGTCAACAAGGTGTGGTCACCCTCAAGCAGTGGATGTCCTTTGAAAACAAGAAATTGGTTCCTTCTTATCCACGGAGAATCCTCAATATTGTCTTGCGTGATTTGAAGACAATGACCGTGGTAACTGGGCCGCATATCATTGGGGCCTTTTACAGGGCCGTGTACGACGCGCGCTGGAGCCACGTCGTGGAGGTTCCCGGCGGCGAAGGGGTGGGAATGGAGGTGCGTGAGGGCCAGCCACCACAGTTGTGGGAGTTCCAGGAGGATCAGCATACGCTTGCACCAAGCAACCATGCGGAGCAGCTCCCCCCGCCCCAGCTCAGGCTGATGGTGCTGACCTCGAGCCGAGGATGGCCGTTCTCGTGGTTCAGATTCGAATATCTTCCTCACTGCTACGTCACCGTCGAGGTAGAGCGGGTCTGGAAAATCGTCCTCGACGATCTGACGGACTGGCTAATCACACACGGTGGGGGCCGTTTTGAACCGGTGACGCGTATCGTGATTGGAACGCCCGGGGTGGGGAAGTCGATGAATGTTGGCTCCTACCTTCTCTACCATCTGCTGCACTACGATGCCGAGAAGCTTCCAATTGTTGTGCACTTCATTGCGGATCGGGTGTTTATTTTTGACAAGACCACCAGCGTTGTGGTGCGCTTCGAAAATGTTTTAGATGCCTGGAAAGTTGTGACGGAGCTGTCTGCGAGCGTGTGTGGGTATATTATCTACGATGTATCCGAGATGGGAGGTATGCCGTCGATAAAGTTGCCTCCCACCGGGTGGGGGATGACGTTGCTGACGACTCCACATTGCATTAACTACATGGAATGGAAGGAAGAGATGGATGCCAAGGAAATTATCGTGAATTGCCCCGATGAGAGTGATGTGAAGGCGATGTGTGCCTGGAGGACGCGTGACAGACCTGCACAGGAGCAGGCAGAGTACTGGAGTAAGATCAGGGACTGCATGGAATATGTGGGGCCTGTTCTCCGGCGTCTCTTCAATGAGGCGAATCACGGCATGTACTTTGACCTGGTCGATAATGGCGTGGAGGATATTGTTCCTGTCGCGGGCAACTACTATATTGGCTTATGCAGCGACATTTTGTGGCACAGATGTAGTCGATTTCAGAAACTGTCTAAGATTGTGCGGGTGTTGGGGGCGTGCAGAACGGAGCGCTTTCGCAGCGCACCAATTTCTCCTGTGTTCAAGGGAAAAGTATATGCTCTGCTGGGGCGGATTATGAAGTGGCCTGTTGGCTTCAGGATGGTGCTGATCCCCAACTATATTTTATTGCCAGCGGCAGTGGAAGAGTATGGTGCGCTGGCATTTATGTATTGTGAGTTTGTGAAGAGGATACACGACAAGCTGCGTGAGCTGCGGGCCCCAGCAGGAGGACGTAAGCCGCGGCCCTGCGTGCTGCACGTGAACCCGCAGCTGTTCCCCATTGACGCGGTCGCACTGCTGCCGAAGTTGTCTTGTCCTGCGAAGGTGGATGTAAGGTACCGGGTGCTGTACGTGCCGGGTATGAGGGACTTTCCGCTTGTAGACGCCTTCTTCTTCGTTGACGCACCGCGGAAGACGATGGTTGGGCTGCAGACGGCCACAGCGAAGATGCACCACATCACAAGCAGCGCGGTGCGGCAGTTCAGTGAGCGCCTGGCGGAGGTGTTCAATGATTGGGAAGCTTTTTCCGTGGGCTTGTCGTGGGAAATTATTTACGTGCAACATGCCGAGTGCCGATCAGTGGACACATGGCAGCGATGCGGTGTCAACAATGACCCGTACGAGGCTCAGAGGGAAGCGGGGGATGCGGCGAGCGAATTTTGGAACGAAAACGTGCATCATTATTTGCTCAAGGTGTCGGTGGGCGATGCGATCGCGGCGTGTGGGAGGGAAGTTGCGGTGATCTTCCTCGGCGACACGCGAATGGATGTACTTAACCTTGACTCTTCGCTGTGGCGCGACAACCGTGCGTGAGATTACGGTGGCGGGTGGCGTCATTGTGGGTTTATAAAAAAAAAAACAAAATATGTTTCTTTTT